GAAGAATCATACATCATCCGCTTTATTGTACTCTCGTGGCGTGTCCTGACAGTACGAGCTGCGATGAAACTGTGCTCGTTCGCATTGGGGATCTCTGAAGAAGGAGCAGCAATCATTGTCCCCAGAGATTCCGGAGCATCCGGTTCGTTCGGTTGCGGGCCCGGGGTTTGTGACAACACTTAATGGACTACTCATGATTGCATTGTTATTGCGGGATTAATACATATAAAAACACAGGAATCGACTTATCATGGAACAAAAAACGTAGATAAAACAGCATTTACAGAAAGTGCCTGTGTAGCCAGATGGTCAATATATAAATATGCGTATAGACCAGTTTAACTTTACAATATCATATACATGCTAGAGAGGAACCAAAGTGAAAGGGGGGGGGGGGATTCAAACAAGTTCAGCGAGTAGAAGGCTGGGAGCTTGACAATACTGCTTAAAAGTCTGGACCAATCGAGCCAATTCGACGCCTTCGACGGCCCGATGATCGGCGGTAAAGGAGACCTCGACGATCAACCTCGGCTCGATTCTAAACTCAGGAGTTGGGGCCGAATGAGGGTCGATCGCATACGCCTTGGCTAGTTCTTTGTCGCTCGCTGCGTACTCTGGTCGCACTTTGATCGAGCCTATCGCGCCAATCGCCAGCTGTCCAGTGGGCGGAATCACCGGGTGTGTATAAGCTGGTGAAGCATTTGTTTTTTTTTCCCATTGATTTGCAATCGTCAGTGAATCGTCAACACACCAAGAATATTTCTGCTGTGTAAACTGTTAACTCAACTACCACCGATGATTCCAATATTGCTAATCGTTAAAGTACCCGATCGGTTACCACCCAATTCGTCGGGGATTCGTGGGATTTTATCAGGAGAAGACTGACTGATAAACTGACGAAGACGGGTGATATGATCTGCGATTTCGAGGACAGATTTCGACTCGACTGAAGGAATCAGAGGGGTCAATAGACCCGCCGGACTATCGACGGCTATCGAGATATCACAGCTTTGCCGCTTGATGAATTGAGGCGGATCGTCGTTGGATAGTGTCGATCTAAACAGTTCGTTTTTGATCATCGCCTTTCCTAGGATCTTGGTAAATAAACTGAGTAAAGTGATTCGAGAGTTGGGATGGTTTTTGACGAGTGCTTGTCGAAGTCTCTCTAGTTCGGTCACATCGACTTGATCGTAATAACCAAAATGTGGGATCCGCAGTGATTGGGTCAATCCTCTGAACATGGCCTGTCTTACGGCCCCAAAGGGTTCTTTGAGGACTCGAGAAGTTTTCATTGGAGGTTGGCTTGGTTCTTCAGTCAGCGTTCTTCCTGCCTGTTGGCTTGAAGTTGAATCAGTGACCTGCCCCAAATGGTTGATCACGTCCTCTTTCGTCACTCGCCCTTCTTTCCCAGTACCTCTGATGGTGGTAATATCCAACTGATGCTCACGAGCCAATCTGCGGACGGCGGGAGTGGAATGTACCTGAACCCTTTGATCATCCTGATTCGAAGCTGAGAGTGGATGATCGTGTGCTACCGAGTGGTCCTCTTTGATTTGTTTTGCTTTCGTTTTGACCAAGCTATCGAATTGATCTTGTTCTTGCTCTTGATAGTTTTCAGGTGGGGATGGTTGTTGTAGTACTGGTTCAGAGTCCACCAGGATCATACAGAGTGGTTCTCCAACCTTGACGACCTGTCCGGTTTGACCCACCAAACTTTCGACTATGCCGTCGTATGGACTTGTGATTTCAACGGTCGCTTTATCAGACTGAACTTCAGCTATTGGATCGAATTCTGCCACCGTTTGACCTGGTGTAACTAGCCTGTTCTTTATAGTAATTGATTATTGAATAAGGACCAGAATTTTCAGTATGCTTCTTCTAAGCCTGCCTGCATTGAAAAAAAGAGTGAAGAATAAAAAAATGGAAAAGTGTGGGGAAAGACCATTTGACGATTTCACATCCTGTGATGCCTTCGCCAATATCAGCCAGCAGGAATGGTTGTAAGGTGCGAGTCTTGGACGATGATTGGCTGAGTGTTGTCGGGGTGGAACTGAAGTAGTGACAGGTTGAGAGTGGCTGGTTAAGATATGTTCGAGTGATCGGTAGACGGGAGGTTCTAATTTGTAGTACAGCTTGAGCTGGGGGATGATATAAGATTGAGTGAGAGATCGATAGTCGGCTTGGGATGGTCAGACCCAGTTGCAGGTTGTGGTAGCTCTTGAGGAACGTCTGAGGTTGGGGGAGCTTGGATGGCTTCATCGTCGATGGTTTTGGTTTGTTGTTTTTTCGGAGTGGGTTTCTCCAAGGGAAGCTTCACAGCAATCAATCACCTGGCTGCCCTTCACTGAAGGTCATTCGACCCAATGACGTCATTCGATCATCACCTGACCAAGCTGCTTACATAAAAAGACAAAGATTGATTGCCATCCTCCTGATGATGAATACTTGCTCAAGCTCCACCCATGGCAAATTGGACTCAAAAATATGTTACACCGAGTTGAGAAAACACTCTGGTTTGCGTCATGAACTATACATGTATAATCAGAGCATCAATTCCGTCCACAGGCATGTTGGTTATCTTATATGCAGCTTTGTGGATATGGCACTATAAAAAGTGGTACGGTGTAAGTGAGTCTGTAGGAACAGAGTTAAGGGGAGGGGGTTGAATATTATGCCAACTTGTGGAAAATAACACCAACCTTTGCCAGTTGCTTACAAAGACAAACAAAAAGAAAGCTGAAATTAGGAGTCTGAAAGATGAAGCACAAGATGGAACGAATGGAACGAGCAGGATAGGACCCCATTCAAGCCGAATTCCTCAAATGTTTCCTTAACAGGATCAATTCACCCGGATCGATACCCTGTAGACGCTGAGCAACACCAAGTGTCAGTGGCCTGGATTCAGTCAGTTTTTGTCTGGCTTCTGAACTAAGATATTCCAATTCGGAATAGTTGATTGAGGACGGCAGGATCATGTTTTCATCTTCTATCAAGTATTTCACATTTTGCTCGTATCGTTTGATTATTGGCCGATAGAGTGCTATCCAAGACGAAAGCCAGCTTAGATTAGCTTATCGTCGATTGATGTACAATCTTTTGGATGATCAACCAAGTCAAACGACACTACCTTCTACTTCCACTCTTCTCCAGATTTCCTCCTCGATGGCGTCTATTTCAGGTATAATTGGTTTCAATAACTCCATTTTGACACCTTGGACCCTTAATACATCGAAGGCACTGGTCCATCGCAGAGAATGAGGTTGGTTTGCCATCCGGGGGATTTTAATCCTGGGGAGAATGAGAGACGAAATGGACCAACGTTTTTTGAACAGCATCTTCGCGAACCTTGATCCCGTGCCGAGCCCAAGTCTGTTGAGGTAATGAAATGCTTTGGAGCGCCAAAATCAACCGATCGATTTTCGATTCGGTATCCTGGAGAATGTTCCATCTCCTATCATCGATCACGCCACATCGTCGGGCCTTTTCAGTCAGACGCAAATCGGCATTATCGACCCTCAAAGCTACTCTGAATTCGCTCCGACTAGTAAACATTCGGTCTGTGAGGCCAATCAATCCATCCTAGTTCGTCACAATAAGTTGACATTTCACTAAATCAACCTACAAGGTTCTTGGACTCCTTTGCTCGTAAGATCATCAACGAGTACACCGATGAACGAATCTGCACGGGTTAGGATCAGGGGAAGGGCATTGCGGGATTTCAGGCCCGCATTAATCCCAGCAAGTACTCCTTGTGCGGCGGCTTCTTCATATCCTGTTGTACCATTGATCTGAACATGTGGGAAATCATGTAAAGTTTGGTCAGGGATTAGAGATTGTGACTTTCAGATCAAGCAAGTCGCGCTATGTGTTAACCTGACCGGCCAAAAATAATCCTTGGATTGCTTTCGTCTCTAATGTATCTGGAAATAATCAATTCAAATTAATCAGTTAGCAAATCGAGCAGAAGGTCAAACGAGGTTGATGGGGGGATATTCACTCTTTAATTCTCTCGGATCTATGTGATCATATTCAACGCCATATCCCGGTTGTACCATCTCTACCTTTTCCAGGCCAGGAATCGTTCTCATCATTTTGAGCTGGGCATCCTCAGGCATGGTTGTCGAGATCCCATTGGGATAAATCAAGTCGGAATGAAAACCTTCAGGCTCTAGCCAAATCATATGAGAGTCTCGATGGGAGAACCTAGTGACCTTGGCCTCAAGTGATGGGCAGTAGCGCGGGCCTGTCAATCGGATAAGACGATAATGCGATCAGTACGGCGCCTTTGCTCCGAATGAGAGTATCGCAAACTGACCGTGGACCTCTTCTCGGACGTACGAGCTGAGATGTAAGTTTTCCTGGACAATCTCGTGGGTAGCTTTGGTGGTATGAGTTTTCCAGCAACATAGCTGTTGATTGGCGTGTTTGACGGTGCGATTTGTGAAGGAGAAAGGCTTTGGCGGTACGTCTCCCTGTTGAACCATCAAGTTATCAAAGTGTATGCTCGATTTCGAAATTCGTGGAGGCGTGCCAGTTTTCATTCGGGCTAGCTTGAACCCAGAATTTTTGAGTGAGTTTGATAATGAAGTTGACGAGCGTTCTCCAATCCTTCCAAATGCCGAAGTCTTCCGACCGATGTGTATCTCTCCTCCCAGGAAGGTCCCAGTTGCAATCACTAATGCTTTACAGTTCAAGGTCTCGCCGCTCTCAAGTTTCAACCCAGCGACTCGGCGCGAAGAAGTAATACCGGGTTGAGTTGGATCATCCTCGAGCAGCAAGTCAGTCACAGTGCCTTCTTTGACCTCCAGGTTGAGTTGAGATTTGATTTGGCGTTGGATAGCCTCTTTGTATAATCCTCGGTCCATCTGAGCCCTTGGACCATACACTGCTGGGCCTTTTGAGCGATTGAGCATTTGGAACACGATCCCGGCCTCATCTGATCATTGAATCCCAACGAAGGGAAATGTTATTTTCGTCACATGAAAACAGAGAGCAAATTTTTAGTAACGAGTCATTGCTTACCACAAGCTTGCGCACAGACGCCACCTAGTGCATCGATTTCACGAATCAGGGTGCCTTTGCCGATCCCGCCAAAACTCTACAGAATATTGAAGATGATACAAATTGAAGAACCAAAATTTTACAAAGATCAAATCAGTATGGAGTCACATTGTTAAAAATTAGGTATATCTTAAGTATTCAGGGTTTACTTTACCGGGTTACAGCTCATCTCTCCTACTGTGCTCCAGTTGCTAGTGACGAGCAATGTTCGAGAATTTGTCCGAGCAGCTGCCGAAGCAGCCTCAACGCCTGCATGACCACCACCCAGAACAACGACATCCCAATTGTTTGAAATTCCTGATGACCAGGCATAGTCTTCGCGGCGGGTGTCGAGCTCGTGTGACTCGTGTGCAAATGAAGCATTGTTGCGGGAGAAGCACCGGTGGGTAATAGGTATTCGACGAGGAGGGAAGCTGAGAGGCGGACATCGACAAGTCGTTAATCGTTTACTAAGCCCTCGTACGATGAAACTCGAACCGTGTTTGACTCCCATCTGAAGAAAAGGAAACTTGTCAACTTCAATCTGGGCTGATCAGTTGGACCGTTGATCGTGCCGAAATTTCTGGGTGCGCATACATCCACCCGCCCCGGGCTCCAGTCTTCTTATCGGGACATCTCGGGTATCCTCGGGACCGGGTGCTAGTTCGCGGGGAAATCGGGGATTGTCATACAGCTTCCGGGCTTCGAACAGTTGTGCTGCTTTGTGCGCTGCAATCATGAGCTTCGTGTTTTGATATTAGGACCATGAGTCTTGAGCCTAGGTACCATTCACATTATGCTCTCATTCTCCTCAACTTCCTCTTCAGCAATGAATGATTGTGCGGATGTTATTTCAAAATCTCAAGTAATAAAATCGTGGATTTCATTTACACACTACAAGATATAAATAGAATTTCCCTGATAGTTCAATTGAGATTTACACCATGCTACTGCTCCAGCTACCCTTCTCCAAGCTTTACTTATTTATTTTTAGTTGAGAGAAAATAGAGACTAGACTAATCCTTTAAATCAGAAGAACATGAAAAGTAGAAAGTAAAACACTAAGCAAAACATCTCCAACACATCTGCAATTTATTCCCTGTCTTTTAGTTGGGGAAAAGAAATTTTTCAAAATTCTACCAGGGCAATAGTATCAGGAAGTGAAAGTGGAAAAAAGAGGCGCCTGTCCTCTCTTACTACCGTCTTGGAATGGGGAAAGGATTGATCCTCGATCAAAGGACGTCCTTCGAGTTGACCTGATTCTAGGGGAAATGACTAAAAGCCAATGTCGGCAGGAGCGACGGGGCACTTCTTCTCGTGACGGGTGAGGTTGGCAAATGTTGAGAATGAACTGCCACATGTTAAACAGCGGTTACCTGAAGCAAGCGCGACGTTGTTTGTTAGCAAGACGGGAATCAGCCCAGAACACAACGCAAAGTAGCAACCTTCAAAACTCACGTTCTTTTTCGCGGGAGTGGTTAACGTTCTTCTGAACAATGGGCCGCTCGGATCGAACAGAAATTGGATCGTAGAGAGCTATGAAGCAGAACGCGATTGGATTTCAACAAATGGACTTCAAGTCATTACACCACAACTCAAGTATAATGCTAATGGTTACCACATACGCGAAGTCGTTTTCGTTCTGGGGAGTGCATCACGTGGGCCCGAGGAGAAGACGAAGCAAGTTTGATGAATTAGTGAGGCCACAGCAAGCCTGACTCCGTGTATCAACACTTACTTGTTACTTGCAGAGATCTCTCTATGATCAGCACTTGCTAACGAACCTGAGCTTGCAAGTGAGGGAGTATTCGTGCGGGATCGGGCCGCTGCATCGGCCACATGGCCAGCCTCTTCAATCTGCAAATATGTAAAAACAAACATCAACACTCGGTAAGTCTATGTAGGTCATTCTTTTTTACATTTGGAGGCTTTTAACCTCGGCCTTACTGAAGGCGGTAGCTAAAGAGCGGTACGTACCATCCGCTCTCGGTACAATCGAGGAGCTGGGAGATAGTAGGGATTAAATTGAGGGCTGATTGGTGAACAAGATCTCAACGAACGATCCGGAGTGTGCGGTGCGGGTATGCAAAGATAAATTGGCGGCAGCGGCATGGGTGGGTGCGGGTTTAAAGGGCGAGGAGATGGGAGCTGCTTCCACGGTCTTAAACGGCTCAGGTCATTATGGTCTTGATTTTCTTGCTTGGCAAGGCGTATTCTGGCAAGCGGTGCCTGAGGGATATTATCAGTGCTTGGAGAACGAAGATGAGAAGGGGGTGATGATGGAAGGACTGGATTGAGAAGTTTGCGCAAGGAAGATGGCAAATGAGACTCCTGGGTGCACTGAGATACGGAAGAAGTGATAGAGTCGCAAGAAGAAGGACGATCATCATCTGAATCAGAGTAGAAGCGGCTGGCTGGGTGATGCATCAAGACAAATGGGATCGACAACCGGTTTAAATATATGAGGAATATGATTCTGAACGGGCGACTCAATTAAACAAGTGAGGGCAGTGGGTGACGAAGGAGCTAAATGCTCCCTGTGGGGTGGAGACTGTGGTCTTTAAATAGAGACAGTGCCGGTATATTCGGTAATCGGACGGTGGTAGATTGAGCTCTGGCCATGGCGGCAAGGGTCATCAAGCAGCATGCACACAACATAAATTTATTTCCGTCTAACGATAAGTTTGTTGATGAGGGTTCAAAACTTCAACCTACTTCAACTCAATAGGGTTTATGGATATACATAAAGTGCTCAGGGTCATCGAATTCTATAATTAATGCAACACAATAAATCGACAGTCTGATGAGTGATGAGACAAGCTGTCGAACCTCATCGCCGACGATACTAAGTGGGTCTAGATATAAGTCGATACATATTCATTTAAGAGACAAACAGTTTCCAAAGAAGCTGCAGCCTGAGATTGTTGTCCGATTTTCCAAAGAGGGTCGAGGAGTTTTTGACAATCAAACTCTGAGTTGCGATCTGTTGCGACCTCCAAAGAAGCCATCGATTCAGGAGAAAAAATATCGCCAGCTTCGGGATATCATTTGTTCTCAACCCTGCCACATTCCTCCCCTGCAGCCTCATTCTCCAATTCTGCAAAAACTCTCAATAACTTCGTCAAGGAAGACCTTGCACAGCCCTGCGGGCCTGCCAGGCCCTACCCCGGCGTTCCTGTGAAAGTTATAGGCAATTTGAATCGAGATACATATAGATAGAGCTTGACAACGGATCTCGGGAAGTTTCCATCATCAATGAAACTGTAAAATTGTGTGATGATGTGCCTCTGCATACATAGATTCTCAGTGCTCACACTGTTTATGCGTGTTTTTCTTTGTTGAGAACGGCGATGCCACTGGGCCATCAGGTGATGGATTCTTAGAGACAGGTAAGAGATCAGGAGCCACACGGAGGAATTCGAACTGGCATAAAGCGTGAGTATTCAATTTGGTTGCGGAGTGTTTTGGTGGCCTTCTGACAATGACTTTGAGTCTTTGGAGACGTCATGGGGGATAGATTCTTGGTTCGCAGACGCGAAGGAAAAAAAGCCTACGGAGGAGTCAGGGACGGTAGTGTCGGGGCCCACAGCGAAAAACGCGAAAGGTGATGAGACTGATGACTGCAAGACTTGGTCGCGTCGTGATGCTGAGCTGGAAGCCTGGCGATCACGGTATTTATATGCGTCTACGCGAAGCCAGTGGATATCTGGAAAAGTGCCGCCGCATGGATCTTCTTGTTTAAATACATTTTTTGAAAAAAAGAGTTCTCACATTTATAACATGGATGAACAAAGCTCAGAACTCAATCGGATTCAAACCTATTCAAACCCAGCAGGAATTTTAACTTTACACATCACAAATCATGGGACTCTATGTGGAGGGAGTTCTAGCCTTTGGGAAGGTCTTCATAGACTGGCCTAGCCTTGGTGTGTTACATATTGCAAGAGATGGGCAAAGGGAAATGGCCACATCGCCTCACCGGCAGCGGCCTCAACCCCTCCCCATCACGACCTATCACATCCTGTCAATCTTTGTCTCGATGATATACTAATGGAGCAAATATTTAGGTACCTTGTGTCTAATAGACTAGCGGGATAAATTAGAATAAATCGTATTTTCACTCTGATTTTCAGCAGTAGACTAGTATGACTTGAGGCTAATGACAAACAAAACCATTCCGCCCGGCATCTTCAACAAACGTGGAATAAGATTGCAGAAAATTGCAGGTTGTGTTTAGACAAAGTTATGAGGCTAAATCCGTAGCTTGCCGGTCCCTAAAGCCCTTCCTTGCCTCTCAAAGCTCTTTCATACACCAGCCTCTGATAGCATTGATGGGCTGGAATGCGCTCTGCATTAAACCAGACCGATATGTGGTCAGAAACCATCATTTTCTCGACATACTCAGCAAATGAGGCTGTCAGATTAGCCCAACTATGGTTACCCATAATTAAATACTTCTCTTTGGAAGGTTCCCAAAATTTCATCGGAATTTCCTGCTGAGAACCCAGATTCTTCATGCTTTGCGTTTGAAACAGAGCCGCATGTTTATTGTCGATGAACCATTGGGCATGCTTCACCGGGTCTCTATGAATGGATAGGATGTCTCACTGCGCCCCGCTGGGGTTTAAGGCAATACCTTCCTATAGGTTGTTACGCCAATTTGATAAATGTGAAGACATTTTTTATAAAAAATCGCCAGGCTCGATTACCTCTGTCATTGAATCAAAGTACAGCCTAAGATTTAAAGCTCAATCGAGTTAACTAGATTTGGACTGTAAAACAACCAGTCTGACTAAGAGCTTGCGAGCGTAGTATGGAACAACAATCTATGCATGTGTGCCATTCTGCTATGATCTAGTAAGTACAACTCCGCTGCAGAGCTTCGATGGGGTAGACAGGCTCTACGGCAAATAAATGCTGTAAATAAAGATTTACGCGAAACTGAAAACTGGAAGAGACTGGAAGTTGTACGTAGACACATTTGTTGGGTCGTAGAATCAGGCCATGCCGTCATCAAAAGGCTGTCTCCCGACTCTCAAACGATTATGTATGTGTTAACCCTGGTAGGCCAAAAAGCTTATCGATCTCCTCGGTTAAATAGCAAACGGTCTACATACAAAACTCGGAGATCGGATTGTAGAGCGACGACTGATAGCGGTAGTTTGTGCTTGCATAGTTATTTGTTAACTTTGTCGATTTGCTATGTTTAGCATCTAAAGCCTTTTTCTCCTGGGAGGGTGCTGAAGCTTTTGTCGGACCACACAAACGCTCTAGCCAAAGACATCATCTTGTGTTGAATTTGATTCTGATGACATCCCTGATCAGTTTTTTTTTTCTGCAAAATTACCATCACGAAGCCATACTGTAGCGTGGAGTTTATGTATCTGGCTCAGCTACCTACCGCGAGCCATATACTTCCTAAGGAGTCTTATTCTCACAAGATGGTCCCCCTTTAATCCTTCTGGTGGCAAACCAAAATTTAGTGGGCCCAAAGGAGTTTTCATTCGGCCTTCGCGGAGGAAGTGTGTAAGTTTTTTTTTGGTCGCCTAGCATGAGTGGCAGAGTGCTGAACAATTTTAGCTTCAACTCAGTGTGACTCGCTCTGCACAAATTGTCTAAATCGGACCGATACCGACAGCAACAAACACACATGAGTTTGGATTCACTGGAACTTTTTTCCTTTGGGGTGCCCAGAGATCCCTGCCACATGCATCTACTCTTCACATACTCCAAGCTTTTGCAAAGGTTCAAGCATTCTCTATGCAGTAGGATTACAAAACTTCGCCGTCGGTTGCAGTCGGTTGACTTGCACTTGCTCGCTCGGTGTGTAAAGGCTGGAGATTTTGGGGTCTAACGCTTAGATGTTGTTTCACTCAGAAGAGTTCATGAGGGTTTCGTTGAATCATAAGCTGTTGCATATCAGCTCCCGAAATCGTGTTAATGGATTAGAGCAGCTGACATGGCAAAACATGCAGGCAAGAGTCCTAAGTAGTGTGGCACATTGATGAGCCACCTCAAGGCACCGCTGGGTTTGTCACATTCAATCTGAGTTGCTCACAAATGGGATATAATTTAATCTTGCCGCACCTTTATGTAGGAAGAAAGAGAAACAACTCAGCCCAAATTCAAAAACAATTAATTGAAATTAGAAACCCATCATGGAAAGCGTGTAGGCATTTGCTTTTCAGGAAGGGGCATTAAGAAATCTGTTGAGTTTTCACTTTCCCTAAAATTCCACCAATTCTGCCTCTTCTCTTCTCATTTTATTTCTTGAGTCTTCCTTAGAATTAGACTGGATTATAGCCTTTAAGTAGCCTGTTTTCTGTTGCCTGAATTCACTTCTTAAGTCAATGAAACTGGAGGACTTCCCGTCGTCTAAATCTGTAAATTTAGAAGGAAGGGCCAAAGCTTATTTGCAGGTGAAAATCGTTTGACCTTGAGATTTCACCAGCAAACAAAGTTTAGCCAGTCCCTCTAAATCAAGCCATCTGGGCGACGGGAAGTCCTCCACTTATTGATCTTTTCAACAACTCATGTCTCTCTAAATTCTTCCTCTTTTTTCTAATCTGGTTTACTCCTTCAAATCTGATTGTTAAGAATTAACAACTCTGATACATTTGTGGTAGTAGAGATTGTTCGTCCGTACTTTTTGCAGGTACCTGGTACCTCCTGGGGGGTACCCCTCACACCCGCCCCGCACCCGCCAGGAGGTGCCAGGTGCGGTACTTGGTACCTATTTTTGTGAAAAATTGAACAGGTACCTAGGTACCTCTACAGGTACCCCCTCACTTCCCTACCAAAAATCAAAATGATGGTGGCCTTCTACTCCAAGAACTCCAAGATCCAAGAAGGTACCTTGGCTGCATGGAAACAGGGACTCAAGGATAACAAGAAGTCTAACAAAAAATCAAAAAGGAAGGTGATGGTTTTGGATGACAATGAAGATTCTTCCAATTAGTTTCAAGTTTCAGATAGTTTAAACTTTGCAATAAATTATTAAATATGAACAAATGAAAAAAGTGACTTGGGACTGATGTTTTACAATAAATATGAAAAAGATAGAAAAGTAATATTCTTCCAATTAGATGTAGATATATTACAACAGATATTAAAAAATGCCAAAAAAGTGACTTTTGAGTGATATTTTAAAATAAATATGAAAAAATAATAATAATAATAAAGTGACTTGGGACTCTGGGAGTGAAACTAGGTGAAAAAGAGAGGGGGGGTACCTGAGGTACCTGCAACAGGTACCTTGGGTACCCCCCAGGAGGTGTCTGGTGTGGTACATGGTATCTATTTTCTTGAAAAAATGAACAGGTACCTAGGTATAAACAGGTACCTAGGTCCGAACGAACGATCTCTATGTGGTAGTATGTATGTTTTTTCATGATTAATATGCTTGCTTGTCCTAAAAGAGACTGAGAAGACTTGTACGGCTATTTCTTCCATGAACTCATTCATTTCTTCCTCTCAGATTTTATTCATAATCACTCTTTACTCATTTTCATTTCTACCACATCTTGCGCACTTGTACTTAGTCTACTTAACCTTGGCTAGATACTTGTGAATAAGAAATTATTGGCTCTTTCACTCTTTTTTCCATGAGCTTTTCCCAAAAAAGAATTCTTCTCTTTTTTGGCCCTCTTCTCTTACGCGCCTCAGTCCAAAAATTCAACAAATCCAAAAAGAAAAACCGTACACAAAACGAGAAGACACTTTCAAAACAATTCTCTGATGTTTGTTGAGGTTTCTCAATCAAACTTTGGATTTTTCCAAATGATGATATTCCCATTCCGTACTGCCACTGATGAAATTTATATCCGTTTTTTCCGAATCTCTTGTAGCAAAGTTGAGTGTGCTTTCTCCACACGCGCGACGTCGATGGTGTTGGTCGGTTTGCGCATGCACAGTGGCTGCGGCGGGTCGATCGAAATGAGAGGACTCCGTGAAGAGTCACAGCACACTGCCTACACTGCCCCACCCCCAAAAACCAGAAAAAAAAACCAAGACCAACGGAAAGCAAGCGATGGCGGCTTCATCACAACAGAAAGACAGCTTGACGCTCAAGATTTACCTACGACCTACCACTGCTCTACCACCACCAGCATTCGGTCCACTAGGGTTGTCGTCCTACTTGCTCGACCAAGAACCAAGCGTAGCAAGCAATCTAAGAATCGAATACGAGGATGGTCTCACTGGCCCTGGCAAGGACAAGAGCTGCAGTATCGTCTCCACCAACCCAGATCGAGCTACTCAGGCTACCGACTCACTGGATTGTCTCAGCTTGCTTGCCAAGACTTTTTTACCCGCTTCAAGTAATACTACCGATGACCAGACCGAACGAATCTTCAAGATCTTAGCACCTTCCTTCGATCCAGTCCAAGCCAAAGATATGAATACCCTCACCAAGATTGCCAACCAAATCGACCACCATCTGACTCTCCGTACATTCCTAGTTGGTTACTCAATATCAGAAACAGATTGGTCACTCTGGGGACTGATCAAGTCATCTAGCACATTCAATGCGCTTCTCAAACGAGCTCAACATCCACATCTCTCGAGGTGGTTCAGCTTTATCGACTGCTTACCATCCAGCAAATCAACCATCACTACCTTACAGGATCAGATCAAGAATTCCGTCAAGGGTCGCTCCAAGGCTGGCGTGGCTTCTGTGAATTTCGATGGCGGACTACCCGGTGCGATCAAGGGACAAGTCGTGACGAGGTTCCCACCCGAACCCTCTGGCTATCTTCACATCGGACACTGTAAAGCTGCTATCCTCAACCAGCATTATGCTAAGATTTACGATGGGAAATTCTTGGTCAGATTTGACGATACAAACCCAAGTAAGGAAAAGGTTAGTTATCACTCTCAAAGTTTGATCTATTCTACGTCTATGTCTTCAAATTCAGAAATCTCGGATAAAATTTAAATCATTCTGCTTTCGGGTCTCTATCTAGGAAGAATTCCAGGATGCAATTTTGGAAGATCTTGGATTATTGGGTGTGAAAGGAGATCGAATGTCATATACCTCAGACTACTTTGATCAATTATACGGCTATGCCACCGAGATGATCTCAAAAGGGAAGGCTTACTGTGACGACACCGAGCAAGAAGTTGTACGTCCTGATCTTTACTTGGCACTTGGTAACACTTATGATGATGAATTGGCTTACCCGCATTGTGTTTGTTTTCCTCTCATTCTCTGGGAATTAAAATAATTTCAGATGAAAAATCAGCGAATGGCCCGGCAGCCTTCTCAGCGACGTGATTCAACTACCGAGGAAAACCTCTCAAGATTTGAAGAGATGAAACTAGGTACCCCTGAGGGTTTAAGATGGTGTTTACGTGCCAAGATCAGATACGATGACTTGAACGGAACGTTGAGGGATCCAGTAATCTATCGATGTAATGTTCTTCCTCATCACCGAACTGGGTTGGTTTAATTTTCAGCTCTTGATTTTCTTACTGCTATCCGAAAAACACTAAAACATCCTCATTCATGAACGCTACTAGTGAGAAATGGAAAATCTATCCAACCTATGACTTTGCTTGTCCGATTGTCGATTCAATTGAAGGGGTTACTCATGCTCTGAGGACTAACGAGTATCGGGATCGAAACCCACAATACTGGTGGATGCAAGAAGCCTTAGGATTGAGACGAGTTGAAATAAAGGATTTCGCGTGAGTTTCATGATGGTTCCTGAATCCACTCACTTTGAAAATGTATCTCATCTCTGAGATTTATGTTATTATTTTCCAGTCGAGTGAACTTTGTTTACACACTCCTTTCAAAGCGTAAATTGAAGTGGTTTGTAGAGACTGATCGAGTCAGAGGGTGGGATGATCCTCGCTTTGCAACTGTCCGAGGTAATCAGCCACCAAGAGTCTTCCCAAGTATATAATATTAATGCCCACATAAATCATAGGTATTCGCCGACGAGGAATGACGATCCAAGCGATGAGAGACTTCATGATTGGTCAAGGTGATTCCCAACAGCAAGTCAATATGGAATGGGATGTTTTATGGAGTATCAATAAACGAATCATCGACCCAATCGTTCCTCGACATTTCGCGATTTCCAATACCAACAAGTATGCTGTTTCTGCCATTTCCCTATTTGAAAATCCCAGCTCACATCCGATTCCTTCATGCAATTTTACTTTTTCGTCTAGGGTCAGTGCTGTCATTAAGGGCGGTCAGGGCGAGGCCTATGTCGAAAGTTTACCGGCCCACAAGAAGAACCCCGAAGTTGGGTCGAAGAAAGTTACTTACAGTCCAACGATTTATATCGAACAAAGTGATGCTACATGTTTTGATGTTGACGAAGAGGTCGGTATCCCTCAAAGATTTGATCCAATTCGCAATTCAACTTACACAAAGTACTTGCATACTTCATAGATCACTTTAATGGATTGGGGTAATGCAATTATCAGAGTTAAATCGACTGGACCTGATGGATTGGTTACAGGGCTTGAATTGGAGTTACATTTGGCGGGAGATTTCAAGAAGACGAAGAAAAAAGTACATTGGTTGACGACTGATGAAGCCGGCTCGACCCCATCTGGCGCGGGATTGCAAAACGTAGTCTTACTTGATTATGACTATTTGATTACGAAGAGGAAGATTGAAGACGATGACGAAATCGATGATTTCATCACTCCTGTAAGTGAGTTCAGAGAGGACGCCATCGCCGATGGTAACATTCGAACGATGAAGAAAGGGGAAATCTTGCAATTTGAGCGGAAGGGTTATTATATCATTGGTCAGTTTATTCGATCTCCATATAACTCCCCTTGTTTCTGTCAAGTTGCCTAGGTACAATACATAAGATCATTGGACTTACTTGTTCAGTGCAATTCTGGTCTTTATTTTATTTGTCGGTGACAGATAAGCCCCTTGGTGAAGATACCACTCTAGCTACTGGAAGTGGAAAGGATTGGATCGAACTGATCAAAATTCCTGATGGACGAGCTGCTGGTATTGCCAGTAAAGCCGCCCCTCCGAGTGCTGCTCCTCCGAAAACCAACAAAAAAGTCGCAGCGAAATCGGAAACTGTGGCAGGAGACTCTAAGGATATAATGGTACGATGATGGATTCCTTGTCAATATTTTTTTTTCTTGCTGGTTAACTATGGCACGATAAAATGACTGTCTTATCAACTTCCTTCTTTCCCATGGTATTCAAAATTGCTGATCGTCAATGGGTTCTTGCAACAGTTCAAGGTCGAGCCTGTCTATGGAAACGACGAGAATGACCGGCTTCCTGTGACAACAAAGATGTATAAAGTCGATAACATTTACCACAGTTAATCGAAACCAGTGATCATCTGACCAAACCTCTCTCTGCAACAAAACCATTTCTTGAAACATCACTACTTATTGCATACCAAAACAAGTTTAGTGATTTAGGATTCTGCTTCCCTTTGATGATTGAGTGATGATATCATCGTGTCATGCATATATAATCATGAAACAGAGAGAACTCCTCTGAACATGCAATGAATCAAGCATTACTCATGCCAAAGTGAAGCGTTAACAAACCCAAAATATTGGATGCACCTTTGCTTCTTTGTTTTTGTTATGGGTATGAGAATTCTGTTTTTTGTTTTTTGCCTCACAATATCACACTGTCTGCTTATCGCTTCCCTGCTCATACCCATCAACCCAATGCTTGATGATGGATCACCCACCCATAACTGCTCAGGTTTGAGAAGTCATTACTAGACCTACAATGGGGTGCATTGGTGTAAACCTTTGGCCCTGGGGTGCAAAGATGAAGTGAGGTTTTTCTGTGCTTCATTCAGAAAGAATGTATGATTTAAGTGTGGCTTTGGCAGTCAAATCACACATCTTTCAACAAAAATTTAAAAATCATAGTTTTTCATTTTCAAAATCCTTAGAAATTCTAGTACTCAATTCACCTGCAACAATAAAATCTTAACATTAGCAAATTGTATTTGTACACCAACAACAGTTGAGTAACTTATATTTAAGTTATGATAAACTTTTTCAATAATAAAGAGAAAAAGATTACAATGCTTACATACTTAAAAGAATATGCATTCTGTTGATAAAACAATACAAGAATCTTTAATCAATTGAATTGTCTTAACTATCATTCAGGTTAATTAAGATAAAAATTATCAGAAATTAAAGTAATGTATTCTTTACTTAATTCTTTTAATCATTAACATTTTTATCTTATTGTAAAAATTGATTGAGCTAATACTTCTTCTTTATTTGATTGACAACACAAATCAACTCAAGAATCATCATCAAATTATCTTTTCTCTCATCCCATTTAGCTATAGGTTGTTTTCTGCCTTGAGGTATAAATTTGTGTTCTTTACATCTTACTCATCTTTAAGATAATGTGCTAAGAAAAAAAGCTTTTGTTTATATAATAATTAACCAACCCTCAGCAATAACAATCTTCAGTTGTTTGAAATCTTTCACATGACTTCAGTTTGATTTCCATCACCATAGTTTCTGTTTGTCAGAGAATATCAAACAATGATTTGGACAAATGCAATATGACAGAAACTAGTGCCAGGAGTTCAAAATGACGGCAGATCAAATAGACAAGGAAAGGGTACAGAGGCAATATTCAGGCTTGTCATACAATGGATTTCAAAGAGGATCAATTGAAAGATGAAAAGATTGAGCAGTAAAAAATTACACAACCTCAAAATTTTATGAGTTTGATTTGATAACTGGAATCATTGGATTCAAATCCATCTTGAAGCAATTCATTTTTCAACATATCACCATTCTGATTGGTTTATAACAACAATTTGTTGCAAATAAGCATATAACTTTCCCAAGTTGGATGTGTCAGTTGTGTCTAAATCCAGTTTATCAACCCAAGCTTTGTAAAAGAGTTACTTTCAAGTACTTCTTTCAAGCTCCTGTCTTCATTTAATTGCTTGATTCTTTCTTTCTCGTAGGCCATGAAACAGTCCCTAAGATTATTCCAGTAAAACATTTTTGGATCTCCTCTGATTTCAGTTTTCCTTTCATATGGATGCTGACAGGTACTAAGTATAATCTAAAAGCATTGCCTTCCACATTTCAAGGTTGAATGCCAAATTCTAATCCCAGTAGACAATAATTTCTTCTCACTTTCTCTAATATCTTTCATCATTCTCACTGAAAATGTTTCCATCTATAGGATTCAAACCTAACGGGAGAAAAACAGGAAGTGGTTTGCACACAGTGTGAGCGCAAATATTTATGACTATCAAGCCACTGCGCCTAGTACACCATATCAGTAATTGGCAGGCAAGTTTTGCAAGATTGTTTTGAGACCGCTATTGGTGCTTCAATTCTAACGAGGCCGACCCCATAATCATCGATACTCTTATCTTGTGACCACGCGACGCGGAAGATGATCGAAATCATTAAATCTCCCAGCATGATTGTATCGGTTGCAATGAGTTGATCTCAGAAAGCATTAGTTGTTGTACACTATGATACCCCGATCAAAAAAGTCAAACGCCTCTGTTGGTCTGGATAAAGCGGCAAGCAGAAATTTCCCCTGGACTCGACACTGCTTGGCAAAGGTTCTGCCCGATGGATTTGGGACATCAAGCTTGTACACTAGCAGGTTTGACTAACCGTACTGGAATTCAAAGAGGACGGTGCCTGTCGCAAAGAGTCGAGACTTGTATAACGTTTTCTATCCAGATCTCAAGGAGTGTTGGATGATCCGATGGCAATGCTTGGCAGCGACGCTCCAAAAAAAACGAGGTTTTCTGTGAGGCTGAATGGCCAGGATCGCCTGCCGATCACAACGGTATCCAGCGAAATAACTATCTTCAATCCCCCTCGGCACCAAAAAACCGGCGAATAACGAGTGTTGCACAGAACATAGGCCTTCAAATCAGGCTTGTCCCCCTTTGTCGCCTGGACAGCGGCTCAGAAAAATTGGTCATTGTCGCCGGCGCCACATCCTGATCTTCAGTCTCTGGGTGATCAAACCTGGAGGCTTACGACTGCACCAATGGAATAGCGGGGTGGAAATGAATCTCAGACACGGCCGGATTGCCGTGATGGACAACGAGCAGAACCAATGTCTCCGCCCAGTGCCGCACACGAAGTGTCCCAGCTCTAGCCAAGACTATAAAGACAGGCTGTTTGGCCCTCATTCAACTCATCATATCAACTCAGTCTCAGAGACTTCCCTGTACATAGATTTCAAACAAGAAAACTCTTTCACTTTAAACGACCTTTCGACCCGAAAAAAAGACCTCTTACGTTCAAAGAGCATTAACTTCTAACGATGTCGACAAAGATGTATCTCTTCATGATTGTTGTTTGTACTATCACTCTTACGTCCATACTTGCGGCCGACAACCCGCCACCACAAAAGAATCGATACCCACATACGGCATCAGCAAAAATCAATAACGGTGCTGTTCAGGTTACCATCGATTTTGCGAAAGTGCCCAAGGAGAATCGTCCGCCAGAGACCTCTCATTTCAAGGCCGACAGACCATTAACTAGTGTGACGGTCAAGTATTCTGGATTGGAAGCTGGAAAAGACTTTACCTACTTCAGTCAGTCAAACGATACATTGACTCTTCATGTGTAATCTTTGATGTGAAAAAGCTGATCCTGAGTGCGATCATCTTGTTCAGTTCACGAGAAACCGATTACAGGTACTGATTGTAGTACCGCGGGGGATCACTTGGATCCAAGGAAAGTGAACCCAACAAAAGATCCAAAGTTCCATTGTGATCGCCACAGACCATCTCGGTGTGAAGTAGGGGTACATAAGAATTCCACACTTGCTCTTTGAGACCAACATCTCATCTGACTTATTGGATCCTATCACGTCTTACAAACAGGATTTGTCCGGAAAGCACGGTGTGTTGAAAGGCAACGGTCCGGCAGAAACCCCGCTCGCCGTATACTACGATGCCCATCTCCCATTGACATATTCTCAAAGAGGAATCGTGGGCAAAAGTGTTGTGATCCATGATCCAACTGGTGCAGCAGTTGCTTGTGGTAAGTAACATGATACTTTGAGATTATCTCACATTGTTATCCCAAATTCTCTACAAATATCTTATAACTGAGCCAAACTTTCACTTATCCCAACAGGTAACGTGGTAGATCCAACTGCTCCTGCTGTTGCTTGAGCTGAACTTCATGTACAAGAAAAAAAAAAGAAGATTCTCAACACACCCATCCAGATCCTATCTTTCCTTATAGACAATTGAAATGCTTGAACTTGTAAATTTACTTTCACAAGATAAACTGGACTTTTTCTTCTCTTTCAGAATAAGCATCTGTTGTTGGCTTATTTCCCTCTTTTCCTGTGATAGATCCTGTGATTTGAAACAAGGAACAACTATCATTTTACTGTTCAACTCCAAATTTCAGACTAACTTTGTGCACTGTAGAGTAGCAGGTGTTGTTGCAACATTGCAGCTGCAGTGCAAGCCTGTAAGACTAGGGCTTGATAAAAGCAAGGAAATGGAAGCAGTTATGAATTCCTGAACCAGGAAAAAATAAAAGATCACTAGATGACAGGTGACATCAGGCCAATGTCAGCATGCTACCCATCATCTGCCCCCTTGTGAATGCTTACAGCTGCCCTAGAGAGAACAAAGGGGCCATTCTAGTCCACTTGTAGTACAACCAGAGTTGGAACAGAGCTATGACCATTGTTTTGGGTGGATCATACTCTTGAAATAACCCAACCCATTCATAAATGGGTTGGGGCAGGCTTTCAATTTTGCCACCCAACTCCACTCCTGATACTGTTTGAAGCATCAAAATATCTATCCTCGTGTCATTCAGATTATCATTCAATAATGATTACTTCTTGAAGTGACCCAATCTTTTATTGCCAGTGTCAGCAGGAATTTATTGGTGCAACCAACCTTTCACACAAGCTTCACCTTGCAGGTTGAATGTACATTTTTACCACCTTTTCATGGTAGGCTCACTTTTGGCTGTGGGGCCTGCTCACAGTCTTGCCCAAGGAAACGACCGGTATCTGATGGTGTGAGCCCTCCAAACTCTAGTCATGTTGCATTTTTGTCTTTCATGAATATCCACAACTCAGCATGTAGACTTGCCAACTTGCCCAGAGTACATGCACAACACTTTGTTCTTTGTTATGCTCAAAATGATTGCCTTAATATAGGTGGCAAAAAAAGAGAAGGGTCTAGGTGATTGATTGTGTGATTTTTTGAGGTTTCAAAAAAAGGTGAACAGAACAAGAAAATATCAAGATGAAGAAGGCTGACACTAGAAAAAAATAAGACAAAATACAATGAGAAAAAAAAGACCCAAGACCATATATAAATAATATACACCTTCCAAACAAATCCTGACCACCACTTGTTTCATGTTGTAACTGTACCATTCTTTTTGAATTTCTGTGACAAACTTCTCTCTCTCTTTCTTTTTTTTTTTTAAAATCTAATTACAATCCAACAAAAACCAAAAAAAAAAAAACCAATCTGTTTTTTGTTGAAGAAACAAAGGAAAAGAAAAAAAAGAAGAAGAAACAAGCAGCACAATACAAGCAGGAGTCAAACCAAACAGTATTCAACCTAATGGATTAAATAATAATAAAAATGGGGGATTACTAAGAATTAGGTGAGACATATATCAAGTAACTTCCAGGAGCAGAGACCCTCCACTCAGCGTAGGTATGAATAATGATTATGTAGTGAGGATGGTCTACTTTTTGTTTTGTTTTTGGTTTTCCAACTTGGTAACAAATTCCTAGAATTCACAAATATGTTTATGAAATAACGACGACAGTCCAAGAACAAAATGAGAAGATTTAGTCAATAGAATCTGTCAGCTCCCCCTCAAGTTTGTGCAAGTAGCCAAACAAAAGGCTACAGCTTAGGAATTCAACTACATTTGTTTTTTTCTGGTGACAGAGTAAGGAGGAGGTACAGCATTGAATGATTTGTACCACAGATGATGTTGGATTGAACACATGAGGATGGTTTGGAAAAGTCACTCGGCACTAATACAAGATTTGAGAAGCTTGATTAGTAAGCCATTGGTGTGACAGATGTGTGCTGGTACTTGTGATGTTTGGTGGCTTCGGCCGGTGGGGGAGGTGGTGGTGCAGGATGGTGGAGAGGGCTACATTGCGTGACAAAATCATTCTTTGAAGGTTGTAAAGCCGACGGATTACTTGATGCATTGATACTCGGGGATTGATGTTGGTCAAAGCATGATTGAACGTCGCTGTTTTCTTGGGGGCCATTGACCGATGGGGCAAGGTTATTCCGGATAGAATTGGATCGGAAAGCGCTTGAGACTGGCGAGACGCTGTAGGCAGGCCGCTGGCTGTTGTTGTTGTTGTTGTTGTTGTTGTTGTTGTTGATATCAGAAGACGGATAGGAGCCGTAATTGTGGTTGCTGGGATTATGCAAGTTCGGGTTGGATTGATGCTCATGATGAGGGCGATGTTGGTACGGGGAGCCAGAGTCAGGCCCGTTCTGAGAAACTTCAGCACCAGGTGCAGATAGCGCGTGTGACGGCAAAGATAGCTGGCGACCTCGATCAACCGGAGAAGGAGGCTGGTAGATCGGTGGACCGGCAGAGTACGATGCAGCACGACTGTGGCTGATAGACTGAGCTGGATCGCAAGCATCGGAACTATTAAGTCCGGATGTCGACATACTCGAATCTGTGGCAACAGATGATGGCCACGATGAATAGCTAAATGATGAGCGATTTGCCGACAGCGGAGCTTGCGTGTGGCAAGCGTGCTGAGTGGAGGAGTAAGATGGTTCGTTGGAGAACCAAGGATATTGGTTGGTCGATGGCTGCGCCGAATAATTGATTGTATGAGAGTTAGAAACGCGCATATAGGACATGCCGTTGGGGGCGGCAGATGACGGAGGATTTGGCGAGCCGGGTCGTGGAGAATGAATCGCGGAAGGGGCAACTGTTGTGGTGGAAGTGGGCGGTGGCGCGCGGGAAGAGTAAGGACCGGGATGCCTGTTTATCAAGGGTCCGCAGTTGGAACCCGGGGCAGGTTGGCCGAGGTGATGGTACCTGGGAGAGGTAGGGTTGTTTGGGGATGGATAGAAGGAGTTGGGTAATTTGGGAGAGTGCTGTGCAATAGAGGACAAGGGCCGCGAGGGGGGCTGGACGTGATGGTGATGCGCAAGGTGATGTGGATGGCCCTGGTTGTAAAGATCACCTTGTGAAGGATGAAGATGATGGTGGTAGTGGTGGACATCCGCCGGATGAGGCATTCCGTTGTGAATTGAGCCCGGTGGAAGGTTCATAGATTGGGGACCACCGGGGCCACATGCAAACTTGGCATGCATCTGCTGCTGTGAGGTACTGGAGCGACGCTTGCCGGTGTTATTGGGACGGCGTTTGTAAACGTACTCGGGAAAGCTGGGTAGAAGATCGAAAACGATCAGTCAGCCGTGGCTTGCAAAAGAAAGACAACAAGATTGGTTGACTCACCGGGAATGAAACTCATCCTTCAGTAATTTGGCTTGCTCGAGGTAATGAGACTTATCCTCCTCCGGGAGGTTCTTCCAATCGTGACTCAATCTCTTTGAGATTTCGCCGGTTTTGAGCCCAGGCTCCTTGGCTTGGATGGCTGGTCGACGATGACGGGCAAAAATCCTGATCAAGTAAGAATTATTTTAGGATTGTTGACAGGTTCAGCTGGTGACAGAGGAGGGTATCAGAAGACCCACATGAATGCGTTCATTGGCCGCCTTGGTTGACCATCTGGATGAAGATCCTGGTGTAGAATTCCAGGAACATCACCTACTTCAGAGGAGACAACACCATCAGTCTCTAAGACCGGTTTGGATGTGGCATATCCTCCCGAAGGGTCATGGTCGGCCGGATTGGCGGCCGGATGGTGGGGGCCTGCCGAGAGAGAATGCAAATCAAAATCAGACGGCTGATTTGAGGTGTCAGTCGGATCGACTTTGACGGCCGAGGGGTAATAGGCTTGTCGAGCTTCTTGCCCCGGCGGAGTGTTGGAGCTGGGGGCCACATTGACCGAATCGGGAGAGGAGATAAAAGGAACTGTGGCGCGCAATGGCAATCAGAATCAGCCAATTGCACAACAAGGCCACATCGGATAAGAGCTATCCGACATGGGGAACACCGGACGAACGGAAGTGTGAAAGGTATTTTAGTTGATATGTTTGTAATCTTACGGGCAGGGGGCAGGGCGGGGGATGGCTGTGAGACCATTGAGTATGTCTGCGATGACATTGGAGGGATGGGCCGGACAACGGTTGGGCTGAGTTACCTGCGCGCAGGGGGTCTTCCAAGAAGCGTGAATGCCAAGACAATTATTGACCTAAGCAGAGTACGTGAGGGAGATGATTTGTCAGAAAGAAAGAAAAAAAAAAAGAAGAAAAAAAAAAAAGAAAAAAAGGGATTTGTGGAGGTCTATAGAAAGTTAGACTATGAACTGAACTGACGCAATGTATGTCGTGACCGCTGGAGTTAAACGTAAGCTTGATAAATATTCAATACTCGATTGAAATCACTATCAATCAACGGAGAATGTGAATAAACCTGGCAGGAGGAGTTGATTGAGCGGCTGGGTTGATCTGCATACAGTGAGTGGGTGTGAAGACTAACCGCAATGCAGTGAGCAAATATGATTCGCAGGGGTCGCTGTGGTGATGATGATAAGCTAATCTTGCTGAGCGACGAGCGAATGAATTGAATGGGTGTCGAGAGCAAAACCTTGGTGGATCGGTGTGAACGGGACGGCCGGCAGTAACAGGTAGTTGAGTTCCGAGCTTGCTATCCAGTCATCCAGAAACAAAACCAAAAAAAAAAACAACTAGCGATGCTGGCAATTCTGTGGAGAACGACGATTGAATCGGAGCAGGAGTCAGTCTCTATGCTAATGATGGGAACATGGCTCTGGATGCGGGTATGCTGTCGCAATTGGATTGTTCAAGAGCGAACACAGTGTACAACATCAAGTGGGGAGGGATGTGAACGGTGTTTAGGATGGCGGCGAATGGGAAGAGAAGACAATCTCGAGGGACTTTCAGAAATAAAGTCCGCACCAAGTGATGGTCTGGCTGTATGTATGATATTACATATTATATGTACACAGTCTGCCCCACGTCGATCCATGGGAAGGCAGACAGCGATAGGGTTGATAAACAACGATAATGAGTTTTTTTGGTGCTTTTTGAATTGGTGTTCTTATTCTTCGTTAGTATTAGACAGTGTTTTACATCGATCAATTATGGATTTGGGATGATCTTCTTGCTCGTATTCAAACAAGCACCCGACAGTCAGAGAAGGCTGAAGAGGATGCGTAACGACAGGCATACAAGATACAACGGCTTGCATGGGCTCATGACCATCATGATCTCCAGAATATCAAGGAGAATAGACTAAGCGTGTAGCGTAGATGACCGGAAGAGAAAGAGAGGATAGAAGAAGTGATCGGGGTCTTAACCCCCTCCCAGCCCCCCGCAGGGATGATGATGCTGATGAGGATAACAGAACGGGGGAGAGGGGGAGGTCGAGTACAGCAGTGACTAGCATGATGATGATGATGCTGCTGCTGCTGCTGCTGATTAGAGGAAAGGAAAGACTAATATATATCGATCGAGCTCTGAATAGAAATGAACGAGCGACGAGGAGTACATAGGAGAAGGTTGCTGGACTCTGACGGCTTAGAAGTGATCGACGGAGTGGGTTGATGAGTGTACCCAGTACTATTAGGGTATTGAATCAGCTGGTAGCGTGTAGGAAAGGTTAGCTAATTGAGTTTGAATGATACAAATTCACGAACTGAACCGAGTGAATGGGATTGGAAGGGGTTGAAGAGATGATATGAATTCTTTGAAATTAAAGGAAAAAGTTGTATCTATAGAATAGAGAATTAAAGGGTATATTTGTCGCAGAAGTCAATGGAGCATTGTATAATGATAATTGAAGCCAACCAACATTGAACTGGACTGCGACCGGGGAGGGGTTGAGTGCAGTTACAGCGCTAGAGGGTTCAATGTACTCTCTGGTGGAGCTATTGAATTGGAACGGAGTAGGGGAAAAAAAAAACTTATTAGTTCAGCACGCCCAGGAATGGGACAAGCTGTGCTCACCTGAATGGCAATGATGGAGGATGGATGTGGTCGATGATGATGAGAGTTGATGTGACTTGCTCTTGGGTAGAGGAACTGGGGCTAGAGGGCAGGCGATGGAGTATAGAAAGAACAATATGAAAAATATGAATAGATGTTATAATAGAAAGTGTAATAGTATAATAAAGAGTAAGAATGAATGGAGGGAGGAGAACAAGTTGGCTGACTGAACAACAGTGTAAGCGTTATGAATTGGAACGGGTACATAAGACGGAAGAAGGAAGCGGAGACTGGCTATAATACGTACCCACTCGAGCTGTGGTTGGATTCCGAAGTCGACTTGGTCAGTGAGTTCACAAGAGGAGTGAAGCCTGGGTTCGGGGCAGGCAGGCCGTCAATCGTCAAGTGGGTGAGGCCTGGACAGACAGATAGGAACAACAATAAAAAAAAAAAACGAAGAAAAAAGAAAAAAAATTAGAAGAAGAAACACGCAGGTGATGGCTCGCTGACAGGCAGAGGAGAACTACAAGCGCTGCCCGCGATGTAAATAATATGGTACACTGTGAGTGTGTATGTAGCTGGCTTTTTTCGCTTTTTATTTTTGGTGATATGTACTTATTATGTCTTTTTCTAGTTTTTTTTTCCTATCTGACAGTGATTGACAGCCGAAAGAAAGGAGGACGAGGAAGGAAGAACATCGAAAAAAAAGAGACACACCCGGCGGCGATAGAGGGGCGACGAGAGTTCAATACACACAACATTGTATGTAAACATGTAGCACGCAGAATTCAGTTTTGAGGGGAACGTTTGAGCTGGTCAAGTCACGCCGAGTGGGAGCCGTCCGGTGGTGGGAGAACTATTAGATTTAACTTTTCAGATTGCAATCCCATACCACATACCGCCTCCGGGGATGCGCCAGTCAAAGCGAAAGAGAGAGAGAGAGATTGATACAGAAGATGATGGTGTACAGTAAGTAGCTACTCCCAACAGCGAGATGAGACTTGAGGATGGACCGGATGGGACTCGCAGACTGACGTTTCCGCCCTCACTGGCAGCCAGGCTGTCGAGACATCCAAGCAAGTCGGATGAGAAAATATCCAGGACGGTGCGGGTGTGTGCTGACACGTCGAGCTCTGAACCCTTTGGCTTTCTTATTTTTTCGTCGGGTGGTACATAAGGTCAGGACGGCCGCCAAGTCGTTCATGGGAGCCAGCCGGCCAGAGCCGGACCGAACAACACAAGGCTTTCCAAGCTGAGGCCACACTTGCATACATATGTAACTTTCGAGATGGAAACGGTGCACCAGCCTCCGCCATATGCTGTATTCTGTATTCGTGTGTGGATACAGCTCGCGGTTTGCTATCGTACAGCCTCGGGAGCGTTTGCCAATTGTACAGAATTATAATACCATTTCCTTCTCCGACATCATTGCAGCAATCGCTGTACAGCAGTATCAACCTGTATACAGCCTGTACTCAGCCCCCCAGGTACGTGGATGGCAAGCCTCCTGCCTCTTACAGGTCTGGCAACCCCACACACTCCCTATGGTACATCCATCCATCTTTATCTTCGCATAAATCAATGCCCATCTCTTATCTATGTCGGCTGTATCTAGACTCCAGTCTCATCCAATGATCAAACTCTTCTTGTTGGAAGGATAAAAGGCAAAGCAAGACATAACCCAACAAGAGTCACATCAAGGGGCAGGACTCTGTGGCCACACCTGAGGTTTGTCTCTTTCTCCCCTCAGCTCGAACTGTTCATACATACTTTCCTAGCACGGCTGTGATAGACAGATAGAAAGACTTAAAATCCAGTTGCACAAAAAGGTGTACATAAAACAATCACAGAAGATCAACAAACTCGAGTTTGCCATTGACAATTCCCACACAAGATAAACATCGAGTCCAAGATCATCTTCGATTTTTACAAACATGTACATCTAGAAAGACAGGGGCCTATCATGTTGAAGCACTCCAAAAAACCAAAAGCACATACGATAGCCACACGGTATCTGCCGGTCTCGAGGCGGCGTCCTGGGATGGCTGTGAATCGTGGAATCGTGAGCTAGCCGGCCTGTTCCGACTCTCACTCACAACCTATCGCACCATCGCAACCTTCCCTCATTGGTATGGGAGGGGGGAGGGCGTAGTGAAGAAGAGCAGTTTCCTGGCTTTTAGGGGCATGGTTAGTCGACCAGGACTACAGAACACGCATCCACATCAAGTCGCGATGTATTCAGAGTGTATGTTGCTAAACACCCTGAAGAACCTGATACCTTGTTCTAGGGAAAGCATACATAGTTTTGGCGCCTCGAAGGACATAACGTGATGCCGGGAAGAGGCCATCTGGCACTGGTGTGATGGTGTCTCATCATCATTGATCCGATCTTAAAATTTGAACAGGTAACGGCTGAACTGGAGTTCTAACGAAGAACCAGCATGAAGCCTTACAGGTTGTTGGCAACTTGTCATCTAGATTTTTAGGAGAGGTTTGTAAATAGCTTCATAATCTTGAACCGTCAAGCTTTGTAAGATACAACATTGTAGAGCCCCATGGACACGTCTGGCTGGGAATGAAGATTGCTTGCTCCCTGAACACTTGCAATACATGCTTCACGGGGCTCATCAACTTCGTTCTCGGCCAGGCTACCAGCTGATTTATCAGGCGTGAATCCGGTAGTCACTTCGGCAATCTTTGTCGGAGGGGTCTCAGGGTGCAATTGCATGTGATGTGAGGATTGAGGAATAGAATTTACAATAGAGCTCGCCCAGGTCTTCAAGATGCACAAGCAATTTGTGTCCTAAAACACAGCTGCTTGCTGTTTATATGTAACAGCAGGAGCCTGCAAGAACGCATACATGCGGCCATTTACTCTGAGAAACAATGTCCAATGTCTCAGATCAGCAGATCACCACTTCCTGCAGACAGTTCAGAAGTGCAGCACACACCAAGGCTTTCTGTTCAGGTTCAAGTTGAGTATACATCAAGAGAGACTGGCCAGACTGCGGCAAATAGATCTACACTGGCCTCCGTTTCCTTAAATGCAACAACAATTTTCCCATTTCAATTAAATCCTTGGTACTACCATTGTCTTCAATTGATACTGCTAGCCTTGCCATATCACCCATCCAGCTTAACTCATTAATGGTATTATGGCTTTGGTTGAATACATGTAATTATTTCTTGTGTGCATTGGCACCCTAAGAAATTTGTTGGAAGATTTGATTATTCATGGCAATGCCCCCAAAAGCTGTGGACTTGTGTGGGCCTGCATCTGCACTCAGTTTTCACTTCCATAAGCTGTCTTGGGCATTCCTGGCACATGAGGAAGTGTGCTGAAATTGATATCCCTAAGGATGATGAGGACACATCATTAAATGGAAGCAGCATCTGTCTAAAGCATGGTTGATTTTTTGAGGCTTGATTTACATGAATATTATTATGGGTGTTGGGCAGGCTTTATGCCAATGGCTTCCTTGGGCTTTCTCTTCATATCATCTTTCCCAGTTGTCAGATAAATAAGTCACAATTTTCTGCTGGGTGGTTTGTATTGGGAGGATGGACAATCTTCATTACCCCACTCAAATTAAGCCTGTGATTGTGTGGTTGTGAGTGTGCTAGTATCAAAGGCTGGAATTTAAAGAAAGCTGTGGTGGAAAATGGAAGCAAAGCACTCCAGACATCCAAAAGCTAGGAGGACCAGCTCAAATTTCATCTCTGCCTGCCTATATATGTGTATCTAACATACTTTGTGGCCCCTGGGGACAGTCCCAATGAGGCTAGTAGTATTTAACTTACATTTTCAACATTGATATAATAAGAAAGGAGATAAAAGAGAAAAGATCACCTGTTTACTAAAAAGGAACAGCTGAAAGGATTGTTTGAGTTGCTTTCATGTCATTTTTTCCTTGTTCTACTGGATCAGCTGTGCTCATGTTGTTGGTGTGGCCAATATTGAAGCTTCTCACTTGTGCAACACATATCCCAGACATTGAGAAGAGTTTTGAATACAACAGAAGGAGATAGTACTAGTAGAATCAATTATGGCAAATACTGGACCAAGTTTCTGTTCTGCACATTCCTTATATTATGTTTGTCAGACACTGAGACAGTATTCCATGTGTCTACAATATCACTTATTATTTATATGTCACTCTAGTGTAATGGCAAGAAAGGTCTTGGACATGAATTGATCAATTACACATAAGCTCAACTTCCCTTTTTGTCTTAACTTTTTTACACTAAGTGATTCCATGGAGTAATTTAGTATCTTGCTCTGTGTTAATCATCCTTAATTAACAAGATGGAAATGAATGTGAATAACTTTCTTTATCTCTCTCTCATCTTTCCTGTAGTTGAAAATATATTGCATGTGTAAATAACAATTAGTCATCTCTTGAGTATTTTCTGCAATTAGATAGATTAATCCCTTTTTTATCTTTCCCTGGGCATTCCTTTCCCAAGAGAGAGATGATCTCATCTATACCAGAAATAGTGTGAGCATTACCTTAAGTTTATGTTTGGATAATTTTCATTTAAATGCATAAATTTAGAGATGGTCGGTCCGCATCCGGATACCCGTCCGGATGCGGATATCCGATGGCAATTTCAGCGAAATTGCACATCCGCATCCGCACCCGCACCCGCTAGCGGGTATCCGTCGGCCGCAGCGGCTATCCTCGGATACCCGCCCTCTAAAGGGCCGGTGACGGACCGGCTGGAAGGGTGTCCTTCCAGTCGGCCATCTCCCCTCCCGGCCGCGGGTATCCTTTGGGATACCCGGATACCCGCCAGCGATTTGCGGAAAAGGGGCCATCCGCACCCGAAGCCGCACCCGCTGGCGGGTATCCGTTGGCACAGGCGGGTATCCGCCAGCGGATAACGGGTATCCGCGACGGATACCCTTCGACCATCTCTACATAAATTGATGGGGTTGGCCCGACCAGTCCACCAGGCAGACTGGCCCCTGCCTTGGAATACTTAAGGGAATGCTTTCCCTCTAGGATTCCTTCCACCAGAGATTATTGCCATATGAACCCGAGTTTCATACTTCCAATGTAGTGAGTGGGGTTTATAAATAATCTAATTTACTAGTGTAGCACCTCCAACTTACAACCTTTTATCTGCATCTATCCATCATCCTAGACTATATTTAAGTCATTATTGTAGCCTAGAAAAGAGCTACATTACTTAATGGATTTAAGCTGGGTGCAGCAAAGCTCATTTTGCTTGTGTCCCCATAGTATAATTCTGTGAGCTAACCCATCCACTTCCTAGTTTCA